AAAAAAAAAAAAATAAATGTGCTATAAGGACAGTGTGTATTTAAGATTACAAAAGGAATGTAAAACAACGTATTAATAATTGTTTAATGGTGATTGTATATTGAAATAATGTTTTGGTTATTTTGTTTAAAAAGAATATAATAAAATTAATTTCACCTTTTTTTTCTTTCTTTGTTGCTATAAGAAACTTTAGTGGCTCATATTGAATTTCTGTTGGACCCTGCTGAGCAGGTTTTATCCTGATTTTCCTGTTTACATAGGAGACTTTTTCCCACTAGATGAAGGAAAGGAATACTCTGTTCTTAAATTCTGAATACTTCTGGCTGGATATTTCCTTTCTTGGAGCCTGTAGGAGGTGGCAAGCAAATTTTTCCCACTAGAGGGAGATATATTACAATTTCAGGAAGTCTGGGATTAGCATGTCAACTGCTATTTATGAATATCCTTTTTTAAAAAGAAGAGACTARCTCAAGTTTTTGCTTTGTTTCACGTGTGCATAATTTCAGTGTTTCTGGAGTTTGCATTTTGTGTAAGCGTGAGGCTGAAATAAAAGAGGGAATAGGCAGAGAGGTTTCCCACTCTCTCCAGAATGAATTCTGAGCTTTCTGTTACTTCTTTGTGGGATTGCAGTCACTTGTTTGTTGCCCATGGACTATTTCCTTGGACTGGAGCCCAGGCACAATGCAAAAACACACAATGTGTCCTTGTGTGTAGCTGTAACAGAAAAGACCAGTGCCCCACTACAATTGCACTCCAGCTGTCATCACGCCCCTGTGTGACACTCCATGCATGTGGGATACACATCAATGGGTTCCTGGAGCTGTGATGTGGTTCCCTGGGCCAGGGTGCARTACCCTGTCCTTTCCTCTTGTTCTTTGGAGCAGTGTTGCCTGGGGTGTGGGCCTGGGGCTACTGCGTCCATCTAGTGCATGTGAGTCTGCCCCTCGATCCTACTCTGAAAAAGCAGCAGCATTTCATGATCATGCTTAGTGACCCCACCCTCTTTTGGTTTTTGCTTCTGGGTAGTTCCTTCTCAATTTTTGGAGTTTTTTTAAAAAATATTATTATTTTTAATTCTGATAGGCATAGAGTTTTCTTCCTTTCCTTGTCTACGTATTCCTTGTCCCTCTTTAATGAATCACAGCCATTCTGATGGCTTTGTCACTACCGTTGTACTGAGGACCCCTATGCYTTTATCTCTCCCTTAGGACATTCTTTGAGCTCCACCCCCACCCAMTCCTCTGTCTCCTGGACATCACACAGGCCTCAAGGTTAGCCCTCATGTCCACTATCAAGGCACTACTCAGCCCAAGGCAGTTTCATATTTTCTGTTTGTGTCTCTTCCCCAGTGAACAAGACGCACCCAGAGACTGAGAGCTTTGCCAGTCAGATTCTTTTTCATTTTTTCATTCCTAGTATCTCACATGAGGTCTGGTTATTGCACACCCTTAAGAAGAATCAAAGATTTTGTTGTTTAAAAAAAACGGATAAGCCATCATGTCATTAACTTAGGAACACATTTTGACCCTGATTTGATTCCATTTTATTCTATCTTGTGAGCATTTTGTCCTAGAATCGTCATTATCACTATCATTTGGTGGTACCAGTCCATATAGAAACAAATTTAATTACCTGTCCAACTGGGGAATTTGCACCAGCCTCCCCCAGTTTCCCTGTGTTGGACACTTTTCTCCTCTGATCCCCTCTCCTTTTGTGACCCTTATTACAAGTTGAAAGGGCCGTTTCCACCAGCCCCATCCTGTATTTCCAAGAACTTAGGTCCCAGAAAACCAGAAAGGAGGTCAAGGAGTGTGATGGGCTTGTGCCCCACCCCGTCTGCTTTTGCAGGACATTCTCCAATTTCTTTTAGTGCCTTTGCTCTGTAGCCAACCCGTTTGTTTAGACTTGTGACTAATGGAGACTGTTTTTCTTGTCAGAGCATGAAGAGGAACTGGACCAGGAATTTGAGTTGGAGGCTGACGCTTTCTTTGGAGGACTAAAGAAGGTACAAAGTGGACCAAGGGTGAATTTTCTCAACTTTCAWATCTAGTGTTTTGTATCACTTATATATTTGGAGTTTGCCAGGTACAGTATGGTATTCAGCAATAACCGGGAATAAAGCGCCTTCCTAGAGTAGAAATATGAGAGTGTCGGGCTGGATCAGGCATTCTCCGTGGTTATTTTCTTGTTCTCAGCCTCTTCTTAAGGCACCAGAAATCTGGTTATGTAACCTTATTGGTTAGTACAATTTTCACTTGGGTCCGGCTCAGGAAGTCCCGTCTTGATCTAGCTGTATCTGTTAGAATCAACCATGGCCCTGGGCACTCCCTGTGCCTGCCCTTGGCAACTGTGAGCATGTCCTCCTTCAGCCCCTCAGGGCCCTGCTGTGCCCGCTGTGGTGGAGCATGCGGGGAATGACCACCCCTTTCTTCCTCCTCTGCCCTGGTGGAGGAATGGCTCCTTTGTCTTTTGCTGCAGTTTATTTTGTAGCAGGCAGGATGGCCACTGTTCCGTCAGACCTTGTACCCTTTTGATACRACAGGTAGCACTTCCGTGCTGGAGAATGTCGTGGGTGGGCACCAGAACCTCCCCTAAGTAGACCCCTCAGTCTTCCYATCAGCACCTTTTTTCCCTGAAATTCTTCTCATTCTTCCCTTGTAAGTTTCCCAGGAACCTGTTTTAATACGGACTTGGATATCAAGAGGTCCACAGCCCAGCTCTTGGTTTGAGGTTCAGGTCAAAGGTCAAATCCAGTTATGAGCTAGGTAGTTGTTTTCTGTTTCAATGTTCTTGTTTTTTTTTTTTTTTGGTATTGGGGATTAAACCCAGGTGGTGCACTTAGCCACTGAGCCACATCCCCAGACCTTTTTATGTGTGTTTTATATATAGAGAGAGTCTCTGTGAATTTCTTAGGGCCTTGCTAAGTTACTGAGGCTAGCTTTGAACTTGTGATCCTCTTGTCTCAGCCTCCCGAGCTGCTAGGGTTCCAGATGTGTGCCACTATACCCAGCTTCAAAATGTTTTAAAAATGATATCAAAGCACTGCTTTTTACCACTTCTACTCTAAGTATATGGTATAATGGGGTGGCCTGCAACCTCACAGAGTAGATTCCTGCTCAGGAGGTGTGAGCTGCCTAGGAAAATTAAAAAGTCTGAAATAATTAGTAAGAAATAAAGACCAAGCTAGAAATTAAAAAGAGAAAGAGGAGCAGCTGATGGGTCTTCCAGTCCAGRTAGGAGCTGGAACTGAACAACTAAAAAAAAAGGCTCCTATTCTGTATTTAAGGGGGAGTCCATCAAAGGCAGGGACAAGGTTTCAGCAGGAGGGGTCTTGGTTTGGAGCTTGCTTTGCAGTGTGGCAGGGGTCTTGCAGTAAATAGGCTGATGGGCATTTGGGCAAGCCGCACCCATCTCTGGGAAGCTGTATGGCTCCACCTAGTCACTGCCACCTCTGTAGCTATGCTAGAACTTGAGCGGTGAGCTAGGTAGGACCCCACGTGAACCAGGCATTCTCAAACCAGTGGATTCCTACAGGGAGTTCCTAATACCAGGCTTTCCTGCCTAAAYGGCTCCAACATCGCTTTAGTCCATGCACGGTTCACGGATGGCCCCCGGCATACCAGATATCGTTTCAATCATCTTTTGTGGGCTGGCTTGAGACATAAAATAATGCGTCCAGTTCTGAGCATCCTACTTACCAATGAACTTTTGGAGGACAATTCATCTCAGAGTTGGGCACTGCCTGTCCTGCTGTTTTTCTCCCTTGACAGTTGCCAATCTTGCTGAGTTGTTACAAGTTTACTTCAATTTCCATTTTGGTTTGCTGGGGTGGTCTGTTCCTCATCCAGCTCTGGCTCTACACAGAGGCAGTATGTTTGACGTAAGGCCCATGTTTGTCTGGTACTAGGAGGAGAGCCCTGTATTGCATGGGGTGCTCTTCCTGGCTTTTATTGCTCTATCCCTGGACTATTTCCATGAAAAATTGGATGTAAATTGCATTTGCAATCATGGCATCCTTTTGTAGATGTTTCTTGTTCACATAGCCCTCTCWTAGTAAGAAGGGGAGGTTGGTAGGTTTGTGCCCATTTCAGAGATGAGGAAACTTGGGAAGTTTCTGTCAGGGTGGAATTTGGGATGTAACAGGAAATGACCCTCATGAATCTCTTTAGAGATAAAACACTATTGAATCTCTGATGATAACAACAACAAAACACAGTGATTTTTTTTTTCCCTGTGTAGTCACAATTCTGGCGTTTCAGATAATACTGAATAACATAGATTTTTTTTTTTTTTTTTTTTTTTTTTTGCCAGGGGCCAAAATAAGCAAACTGATTTTAGAACAAGAAACTTTTAGCTGAAGAGATGCTATTGTGAGGTAGTATCAGAACATGAACACAGGGTCAGGCTCTGACAAGTTTTTGAGCTGTGGCCGGAGGAGGATTTCATTGTCAAGGGCAGGCTCAGCCCAGGGTGTGCTGCTATTTCTAGACAAAGGGGCTTTGTGTTCACTGACTTCCTGCCTCCCACCAAATTCCATTAGTCCAGCTGCCTGACTCTCACTAAGGCACTAGAGTTCTGGGGAGTTGATCTCTCCCCAGCCATTCTCTTTGGTGGCCCTCATAAGAGGCCAGGGGTGTTGACAGTCAGGCCCATCCTGCCTTCGTGAAAACACACACACACACACACACACACAAGGCACAGATACATGTGCGTGGGAGCCCTAAGGACTACGTCCTTTGCCATCCCAACACATCTTTCTCTTTCCCTCCATCCATGTGACAATTTATCCCTTGGCCCGGGGCTACTGAGCACCTGTTTTCTCATCGGTTTACATTTCATTACCTTGCACGTGGGTGGGTGGTTTGGAGTCCCAGGGTTTAGAGAGAAAACGACGGGTCCTGGTGGATATCCAATTATGAAGGAAGTTGATACCATGCCCTGAGGTTCTAGACGCTCCTCACTGAATATTTCCCATTTTGGAGGCTTTAACAGGTGGCAAGCAAATGCTCCTTTAGTCTGAATTCTAATCAAAGGAAAATGTTAAGTGTGGACAGAAGAGGAATCGTGACCTTAATAAGAAAGCTCGTGTTCTCCAGCCAGCCKGTTCCTTGCCCATGAGTCTATGGCTGGCTGAACCTCAGCGCCACGGACATTTGGGACCAGAAGATTCTTCGTTTGGGGAGTTGCTCTGTACCTTGTAGGATGCATGACATCCCTGGACTCTCYTAGTAAATGCCAATCAGATTGTATTTCCCCTGTCTTGACCGTTAAGAATGTCACCAGGCGCTGCCAAAGCCTTCCAGGGGGCCGGATCACCCACTTCCCAGAACAGCTGTTCTATCCAGTAGTGAAGGGCTTTGCCCCGGTCCCTTGGTCATGTTGACTTGACATTCTCACCTCTGCCCATCCTGTTTCCTCATCTGGAGGTGTCTCCCCTCTTCCCTTTCTGGCCCTTACACTTCAGATCTCACCTGGGTTTGCCCATCATGGGTGTGTTGCCTGAACCTCAAAGGTGTGCTTAGCCCCCAACCCTTCCCTACCTCTCTCTACACTTCCTTCCACAGCTTTTAATGAAGGTGTTTCTGTGTCTAAGTTCATGTTGGGAACAGCAGTGAATCAGAGAGACAAGGTTCCATGCTAGTGTCTCCTAGTGGGGACAGAACAACAACAGATAAATGGACAAATGTAGGCTGGGCAAGGTGGTGCTTGCCTGTAATCCCAGCAACTCAGGAGACTGAGGCAGGAAGATCTCAAATTTGAGGCCAGTCTAAGACCCTATCTCAAAATTAGAAATACCCCCCCCCAAAAAAAAAAGAGCCTCCACAAACAAGCAAGCAAACAAACAAACAAAACAACCAGGGATGGGAATGTAGGTCAGTGGTAAAGTGCCCCTGGGTTCAATTTCCAGTACCATTTTAAAAAAATGTGCAAATGTAACAGTCACAGATTGAGCTAAATGGTACAAAGGTATTCTAATCCATTTACATTACTATAGCAAAATACCTGAGGTAGGCTATTTTATAAAGAAAAGAGGCTTATTTTGGCTCACAGTTCTTTAGGTGCAAGGTTGAGAGGCCTGAATCTCAACACCTGGGACAACACCTTCTGGGTGCCCACTGGAGCAACCTTCTTGCTGTCAGAGTGAGTCCCAAGGTGGCACAGGGCATCACACAGCAAGGGACAGTGAGAGCTCATGTGTCTGTGTGGTCTCTCTTCTTATAGAATGACCTAATGACCTTTTTCCTAAGGTCCCCTCTAAACACCAGAGTTGGATTAAGCTTCCACCCTCTTTATACCTCATGGTGGGAATTAAATTTCAACACTTGAAGCTTTGGGGAACATACTCATCTAGATCCAAATCATAGCWGAAGGAAATAAACAGGCTGTTGTGATAATGATGCTTTGGATCAGGTCGCATGCCCTATTATTATAAGGTGGCTGGTAAAGTTTCATTTTGTATTAGCCATTYCCACTAGACTGTCAGTCTCCCAGGCRGGGCTGGAATTTAATAATTTCTGTACCTTCTATGCCTGGGACAGAGTAGATGAGTATTTTAATGAAGCTATCTGCAGGAAAGAGTGAATGCTTTGAAGTGAAATGCATCAGTCCCAAATGCGGGCAGACAGACYGACAGACAYGTAGGTAAATGCTAGGTGGACAGTGTTCATATCACAGCAGGAGAGACCATGTGAGCACCTCCTGCTGCTGGGAGGAGGAGGTAGACCTGCTGTCCAGCTCATGTGTAGGATTTGGCCAGATCTCCTCAGTAGAGGAGATACTAATTTGGGGTTGTGGGTGGGGCAGGTCACCATGATTGGAAAAGGGAAGGGCACGTCGGAGATATGCAGGTGCCAGGTGCAGCTGCATTTAGGACAGGGAAAGGGGGCTGGGCCCGACCACAGTCCTCCACGTGTCAGTGATGGTAGGATTTGGAAGATCACAGTCCAAATCAGGATGCCTTCCAGAGACCTTGTGTAGTTACGGCTGTCGGGCTTCTCTGACTCT